AATAATTCATCCATCTATAAACAATTGCGCCAGCTTAAGGGCAATTCACTGACACAGATCCAGCCCTTATACATCGATGCTATGTGCAGAGTGAGATAAAGTAGAATTTTACAATAAAGGGGCACTTCATAATATGGCTGTTACCGAGAGAGGGGTAGGGTTGTTGGAGCGAAGGAGCGACTACCGCTTTAGGATGTGGTGGCGGGGATACCGAATTAGGAGGGGGGCGAGACTAAAACAAGCCAAAGCAACAAAAACCGAGTCAACAGCATGCGAAGGGAACTTCATCATCTTTACTCTAGATGTACAGCGTGAAACCTACTGGAAGAAGGTTACCCTGACCTATATATCATACCTACCTAAGTACACCTCTGTACCAATGAAAATAAGTGAAATATCTTTATCGTTTGTACGATCGGGTAAAAAATACATACTTTTTCACCTAAGTATTGTACTTAAGGTTTTGCATTGGGCATTGGGCGATATGACACGCTGCTAGATTGCGACCTCAAACCTGCAGTAGCTTAATTTAGCTTATTCAAATATGGATGTTAGTTTGAAGGTTCGTAGCTTTGAGGCTTCAAAATCTAACAATATTGACATTATCGAACTTGTGATACTTGCCGGTGGGTGTCTCTTCCTCCAGCCCGAGGCGGAAGGTTATTCAGGCTTCATGCAATCGAAGGCATTTTAGATTTGGCTTCGCGCAAAATTGTAGCTATATCAATAGAACAATATATTAAACTTTGCGGAAAATAATTTACTCATGTAATTAGCCCCACTAGGCAGACGACACGGGCTTCAAGGCCTAGGTCTAGATGCCCTACACAAGTGAGTCAGATTTTCGCAGGTGCAAATGTTATGTTATTTCTTTACCACTTCTATAGGTCCAAGGCTATAGTCTTGCATGCTCTTTATTACCAATATTGACAGCTGTTTGGGGACATGGAATGAGAGAGGTATATAGTTACCCGTCATTCCACTTTACATGCCAATTATAGAAATACATCATAATTGTTTATATACGTATATATAAATACACTTGTCACTGTTCACTGTGAATTTCCGGAGTGGTGGTCGCGGTATTTGAGCCCCACAATGATAAGTGCGATAGATGCGTCGAAATCCACTAGAACGCGAACGCCAATGTAACTTTGAGAATCAGACAAATCTAGAGATCGAACTAACGCTTGGATATCAGGAGCTCGAAACTACAATTGCACGCTCTCGAAGAAAGATTTGGTAGTGCTATATATATTTGCATGTCATCGTCAAATTTGACCATGGCGTCCTTTCAAGGTCTTACGCTTGTAGATGTGTATGAATTCGTTTGTTGCAAGGAATACGTGGAATTTTCCGCAATATCAGATCTAGAGATTGAAGTAAGATTTGGAGTGCCATGGATTATTTAAATTTATTATGAGATGCATATTACAGGTAGTCGGGATCAGTTGCATAATAATATGAAAGTCAATTAGCAGTTGCTATAAAGCAAATGCAAGACGAAAATCTGTAATTTAAATTGTATTCATATGCAGTGGCGATTGCCGATACGTTTCGGGACTAACTAACGTTTTCGGGGCTATGATGTTTGTATAGCTATAATTACCCTGTTCGCACTTTTGACCACGCGGCCGGCTGTGCTGGGCGTGATCAGAAGTATCACAAGGCAGTGCGTATACGAGTAACACTGCAACCCAAGATCGATATCTATGCACATGATGATCGTTCGGGATCGCAATAAAGCCCCTCTTGACACAGAGCGGCACAGCTGTGCAACAGCCTTGAGCTATAAAAACGGGCTCATTCCCCATGCATCTGAAGATACTCCGGCACGGCATGAGCTAGCGAAAACGGGAAGTACCAGCAGCACCAGCAAGATCGGCAGAATAAAGTACCCCAAGTAAGTGCTAGCACGTACCATCCCTTTAACCTGGGGAATGTTCCGTTATCTTCAGATTCAAACGACGCAGTGTTTTTGAGGCTTTCACCTTTGACACGAATTTGCAAAGCATTACACAGCTTTATTACGACATGACATGAACATCAGCTGCAAAGAGCCCTCCCTACCTTTGCATACTTGAGCTACATGAGAATTGCATTTCCGAAAACCTGAAAAGCTACACAAGCACAATAAACTAGACTAATAGAGTTTCAGAGTGTACTCGTAACACTTTAGCGTTGGTAAAGTAAAAGATTAATAGGCACCACGACTGGCCATACAATTCATCTTCCCATCCGACCGATCCGTCCCGTGGAAGGAAAGTTGGATTTTCCAGACCTTTAAGGCAACTACCTTACTTACCCATCACCATTACCTCCGGATCATCCAACTCCTCGAACATCGTCAAATCACACAGCTCGTTAACAGCGCTTATATACATCAACGCAATATAAACTCAGCATACACAAACATGATTCTTTCGGCTAAAATAGACGATAAAATAGACCCACAATCGATATCACCGCGGTCGGCAGTATTTACAGGGAGAACACATCACCACCACGACCATGCCTCCTCAGAAGCACCTCAACTTTCACCACCTGAGCCTACGTTTGGAGCAGCTGGTCTAAAAACGCTTTCAAAGGCAATAAAAGGCTATAATCTGCGGAGAGTGTTTCCACAACCATTTTTTCGACCGAATAGCCATCATACCTCTGCAAGCTTAAGCCATGTGAATGAAGGAAGCGAGAACAGCAGCTGCTCGGCCCTCAATAAAGTTGCTACACCTTTAACTATAACAACACAGCTAAATCACCCACAATATGATGCGGGTTATGGAACTAGCTCGTCCAGCGATTTTGATGACATACAAAATGGTGTTGATTGCGAATTTGGACAACCGTTGATCTCAGTGGTGTCGGCGGTAGACAGGAATGCACCCCGTGGAAAAAACCTACCTTTGGAGCCGCAGTTCACTCTCTACGTTCATCACTGCCCACCTTCATGGACCCTAGTCTTTCTTTTGGAAGAGCTTGGCCTCACATATCAGCTGGTGCCAGTTGGGGCAACAGATTTAGACAACAGCAGACTACAGGCCATGACGCCAATTGTTTCGAATGAATCAAACCAACTTAATAGAAAAGCACGTCGTTACAGGACGCACCCCTCACAACGTAGGTCGCATCGACATCATACAGAAGCGCAACAACAAGATACGCAGCAAGACCAGCAATGCTGGCCCGAATTCAGTGATGTGTTTCCAAGTGGGAAAGCGCCAGGGATTGTTGATCATTGGAATAATGACTTTGCAATCGGAGATATAAGTGCAGCGGTTGAATACCTTGTGGAGAAATATGACAATGTCAATGACGAGTCGCGACCGAGGCTGAAGCCAGAAGACTTTGAACAGAACATCATTGCAAAGCAGTGGTTAAATTTTCAGATATCAGGTATGTGATTCCGCATCGAGCTTGCCTAGAGTGTCATGTTTTTCAAATTTCAAAATGGCTAACATGGTGCATATACACAGAACACTCCAGCGCCTTCACAAATGCCACATACTTCATGTATGAGCACCCCCCAAAAATGGACTCTGTTGTCCAACACTTCACGGAATCAATCCACCGAGTCTTGACTGCACTAGACAAAGCTCTGGCAAAATCAAAATCTGGATACCTTATCTCGGATTCGAATGGGCCGACATATGCAGATTTGGCTTTTTGGAGCTGGAACTGGGTCTTTGAAAGTGGTGGAAGCACTATGATGGCCGTTGGAGGAGAAGGAGGGAGTAGCCCAGGCGGCGACGATGTGGATTGTTGGGCAAATTATCCACATCTGGGCGCATGGCAGGGTAGGATGGGAAATAGAGATGCAGCGGCTAAAGTAAAGGTCTTATGGGAGAATGTCCAGCTGGCATACGTGTAAATCTTGCAAAAGAGGAACATGGAGAAGTTGCTCTGGTATCGACGACGTTTGATTTCTTTTCCATTTTGTAGGATTTAGGAACACGGAATTTGGCTTAGTGGGTGCATTAATGTACATGGACAAGGCGTTTGCATTTTGGGTATTTATTCATATCAGCATATAATATAGGAATTCTAATACAACCATCAACAAGAGAAATCTGTACTTGCGGTCATTTACAAGTAATGAAATTCTAACCCATCATGAGCTCAGTGCCTCTCCATCCGTGTAGAAAACCTCCTCCAAATCTTTCCACCACCCTGGCCCTTCCTTACTGGCAACAGCTCCATCGATGAAACTTTCTTGCATGCTATCTGTCATTTCCCACCACCTCTGCACAACAGGGTTGTCGCTCATTTTCTTCATATCGGTATCCCAGTCTGTGCCGATATATTTGAATGTTGCAAAAAGCGTAAACGTGACTTTGTCCAACGCTATCGAATCTGTGAAAATTGCACCGCTCAAGCGGCACATGACGTTAGATTCTCAAACTATCGAAAGTTGGAAGTACACTATATAGGGAATTTAAGCGTAAACTAGTGTGCTCGATGGTGCGGGAACACGTACAATCTCTGATATTGCATTCATGAATTTGTTTCAAGACCTCTGGCCAGGCATTTGCGTGGCATTCTTTGTATGCCTCGAGGGAAGATGGCTTCAAACGAATGATTTGGGTCACTCGGCGAGTGCTAGCTGGGTATTTTGTAAATTCCGCCATTGAGTAGATATTGTAAAATTGAGATTGAAGGATCGGGGCGTTCGGTAGCTATTATCGATCGAGGAAGGTTGCTCAATTTGTTCCTGAGAGTAGTTCCGGAGCGGCCCCGCTATTCTGGAGCGGGGATGAGGTAGCTTGGCCATTTAGCTCTTCGGAGAAGGGAAACCGGGTCTCGGCAATGCAGAGACGGGTGGTTATATTGGAAAGCTTCGGAACCTGGTTACGTATACCGAGCTCTAATTCATGAGCAAGGGCCCTAGGTTCTAAAGTACGTAACCTAGAGGTTCCCTTTCTACAAGCCAGGGATGGATACTACTCCTTTGGGGAGTATTTACAAAAGCTCAACATGGCCTAGTCCGTTCCCGGATGAATAAAGGTCTTATGGCGCAATTGGTTAGCGCGTCCGACTGTTATCATCAACACCTAAAGGTGCTTGATCTAGGAATCGGGAGGTTCGAAGTTCGAGTCTTCGTATGACCGTATTTTTTGCCTTTTAATTCCCATTAGAATCATTGGAATCTTCAGATACATAATCAACGCTTCTAGGCAGGTATCTGTCATTCTCAGTCACAGTCTTACGCCCACTCATTTGGTCTTAACGGTATGCTTACAAAGTGCTTCATCTGGACAGACATATCCCGTTATAAGCATATTTTTGTTGTAAGTATTTGGAAATTGCAGCCTTGAGAGTATGGTTGTGACCGACAATGCCTGAGACGAGTCCAGGTATGCTTATAAGGGGAGAGATCTATATATGGTATGTGCTCATCTCAATATTTGAAAAGGTCACGGTTCAAAGTTTCATGATTGATTGATCAGTGCACAATTTTCATTTTTCTACGTTCCTGGTCATTCTTCTGTAACCAATTAAATGACTCCTCGAAAGCCGATCCGTGGCTGTTTTCGTACCCAGAATCTATGGCCGGATGGGAACACCCAAATTGAATGAGGAGGGCAAGGTTCGATTTAATCACTGTCCAGCTACTTGAAATTCAATGACAATCGTGACAGACTTTCAGAGCACTAATGGAAGCAGGATTCCGATAATGCCCATGGCCATGTCCTTAAATTTCTTTGTTTATACGCCGTCACTTCAAATTTACAACTTAATCCACTCCGTTTGCACCTCAGAGGCTGGACCAGATTGTGAGGGACTTGCAACGGGAAAAATAAGTCAGTCTAACAATGAAGCTCGACAAGGTATGATTAGCATAGAAGCTCAGACAAAAAATGCTCAGACAAAAAAATGTGCAAAAGAATCGACCTTGCTAGGGATCGAACCTAGAATCTCTTGATTTCAGATAGTGATCGTAGTCAAGCGCCTTGCCATTGGGCCACAAGGTCATTGTTGAATACCGGGTCGACATGACCGTCATGGGACAATAATTTCTTTTCGGTGCCCCCAAAACCCTGGATTTAGGGTTCTGAGCATGACCAAAGTACGTCGACGTCCGCTTCTGGAATTAGAATGATATTCAAATGGATAAAGCTCGTTTTAAGCATGCCCGATAGATATGAGCATTCATAGATTCGATATCATCAAACAAATTCAGCACCCAAAAGCAACCATCACACAAGATTAGGCTCCCGTTACATATAAGCATATTCTCTTTCGAAGCATACAACTGTTAGTGCACCAAGTGTGTTCTTATAACGGGATTCATTTGTAGAAGATGTGTTTATACCTTTAAATAAATGAAAATGTGAGTATTTGAGCTAAAAATAAATCCACTACGTTCATTGAGTAAAAAAAAAAAACATGAGGCATGAGGATGGTTTTACATTGTTCTCGTGATGTGATGAATCCCACCGTTACATTGGAACTTATAGTACGCCTCTTATGAACAAACCCACTATAAGCATACCTGCAGTCCTCGATGGATCCAAATGCTATGCTCATATTGAACGCATGTAGCCCGAACATGTGTTTGACCCGTTTTCTTGGGCACATAAAACCTTCTAAAAACAGGGCTCACCGTCTTTGGGTGAATTAGAAGCCCTGTTCGGATAGCAGCTTCTTCTTGATCGGGTGATAATATTATGCCACTATGTAGTCGCCTTAGACGTCTCTTAACCATAGAAGCTCGGCACGAGCCTATAGAAGCTTTGTGTCAAACTTTATTTGTATCTCAACACGTTCTTCTAAAGCTCCCACTTATATAACGCTGCTAATTATAACTGTGACGCAGCTCCCCCTTTACTATTGTCCGATCTGCGCTTTAGGGCAGAATTCAATATCCTGTACCATTGAAGGTATGTATGCCTCGATGCTTAATTGATTGAGGGATTCGAGGCTGGGGGGCCGTAATAGTTACCGTAGTGGCCATGCATTCAAGTTCCCAATGTGACTAGCTTGAAACTCCGTGTTGAGTGTAGTGTTTACTTATATCTATCCCTTCAATTTGCACACGGCACTCAGGAACAGAGTGAGGGATTAATATGCATCTGTTTTATCTTCCAACTGCCTCAATTTCGAGCAAATTCACATGATCCATGGAGATTCAATCTCATAACGAACATTATACACATCTTCGTCTAACCCAGATTTCCCTAACCACGCCTAATTCTAGAAAAAAAGCTCAATGAGCTTCCCTAAAATGCTTTCCCGAAGTAATCTTTTCCTGCTAACCCCATCACTCCGCATAATCCGATGCCTCAATCCAGCTGCCCAGTGCCCATCGACGTCTCGCTCTATCCCAACTCCGTTACGTCCTTGTGGCACTAAAGCTGTTACTGTAACGGTTACAGTCGTAGGGGCACAGGTAAGAACAACAGCAGTAGTGAATACAAGCGTAACTGAATGCGTTTGTCGTTCTTGTTCAACGGTTGTTGTGGTTGCAAGCGCTGTCAATGATGATGATGATGATGATGATGTTGTGGTTTTTTCTTCTTCCAAACAATTATACCTGGACAGATCGTGAAGTCAGCTGCGTTGGTAACAGAGTAATATTATCGACCTCACATCTTCTCTGTTGAGTACGATCATGGATGTACTTACCCATTTAGACAACATCCCCAATCTCTGATGCAATGATATCCAAAATAACAACCAGCTGTTTCCCCAAATTGTCAGCTAAAATGGTAGCCAGAATCTATTCCTAGCGTGGGCCCGACTTACATCCATCTCCAAAACCGCAGCACACTTCAGCGCAGTATGGATCATGGTCACATGGAGTCGTATTGCCTGGACACCAAGATACAATTTCCCTTTCATTCAACAACCCCCTGGAATGTAGTTGAGTTTGATTGTTGACAAATGGAGTAGCGTATTCGAAGCCGTCGAAAGCAAAGATAGAAGATGGGATACATATGACGAGGAGAAGAGCGAAGAAAAGAGACATTGTAGTTTCTATCATTGCACGAAGGAAATTGTTTGAACAAAAGACTTTGAAAGCTAAAACGGATCTGGAGGCTTCGGTTTATACAGGTGGGAGCTGGGGAGGACAAGTTATATAGATATTGAACCCATTCAGATTTACCTCGACTGTAACAGTTGAGATCTAGATGCCAAAAGCCGTGCGCATATTTGCCTCTATGTAAGTGGAGCTGTACGTGGGAATAGTTTTAGGTTGAACATACCAATGGCAGATGTAGATCAGAAGGTTCTGATTTCGACATGTATATGAAACAGTATCAAAAAAATCTTTGATTTACCATTCACTGTAGGAACGCATATATCTAATTGCTATTAATTACATACTACATACGTTGAGATTTCTCAGCGTGGATCGTCTAAAGATTTTCATAGTAGAAGTGGCTGTATTATTTATAAATAGATCTTGACCCTTTGTGCTCTGGATAGATATCTTACCCGATATACGACATCGTAATCGGCCATTCAATATCTCTCTGCAACTTCGTATTGGAAATATTAACTATCCATGTCCAAACCTCAATCCTGCTGGAACATAATATAGTTGTAAACTAGGTACAGATGACTTTCGTGATAAAAATATGCATCTTTGTGATAATCTAGAAGCCTTGGTGCCACTTACAAAAGCTCTGATTCTATGGCGTCTACTCGGGCAGAATTTCTGTCCATTATCTCCGAGCGAGTGTTAATAAACATGAGGAAAAAAATGACGACAGAATTTACAATTAATGTTCTATTTCGAGCCTTTTCTTCTGATTTAAAATCATCTAACGTTGAATGTGCAATGGAGCTTGCAGATAGAAAGAAAATCAATTCAAACAGCGTTCAATGAGATGGCGTACAAATGAACGAATCAGCATTCGCACAAGAAAAGCCAAAAACCCCTGCAAATGTTTTAAAATGCTCCACAGCCAGTCCTTCTTTTGCGCCCAGAAATAACCCTGCTAAACGGATGGTGTAACTACCATGGAAATATGCGCGGGAACCAATGTCGAATAGGAATTAATATTATAGATGTGCAAAGATGGGTAAGGGTGGACGTCTGATGGCCAAGACGTCTTACTTTAGCGGTGCAGGAAGTACGGTTACTGACTGCGTGACAATGTGCATGAACATGGCTTAGGTCTGAGTTGGTGAGGCACGAGGAAGGACACTTGAGTGGTAGATGATTGCGTATCTCCATGAATTCTCGCCAAAAACTTCCTGTACTTGAATACAACGACCCCACGGTATCTAGAAATACTGATCTGGCGCTTGACTTCATCCTCTATTCCGCTTAACTCTTGGGCAAAGTCAAATAGCAACGAAGTTCTCACCAAGCTCACCACAACCACCGCATTGTTATATAGGATGCGTGATCGAGGGCGCCTTGGCCTTTATAGGCGACAGAGGATCAATATCAAACACAATATGGGCAGTCTGAATGTTTGGGGGCTCTTTAACTTCCCAAAGTAGCCGAAGTGTAGAACCTGTGGCCCAGCTTGCGCTACTTATACTCAAAGTTAGCCTACATTTTGTGGGGTAGCCGTGCCTCATCTTACTAGCTTAACAGTATAATATTTGCTGATTAGTTATTTCTCAGAAAACATGCACAAATGCAGATACACACATCATGAGCAGGGCCAGACTTTGACCAGTCAAACTTTTATGACATATAACGGACTACTGATTGAGATATACTTGGGCATACGTTTGAGTTTGAATCTGCCAGTATTGGCATTTATGACGCTTGATGATTAGTATTGCTTGATGATCATTGGAAATCAGTGAAGAGTCTGCCCTTTCTAAAATGTTAACGAGTCTGCGCATGCCCGAACCGTCTGCATGAGGCCGTTTTCATGTGCCGAGTGCCAGACCCACTTTAGTTACTAGCTGCATGCTGCACGCTCAAAGTGCTGTTAACGTATAGTTAAGCCCTCTCAGGGGCACACGGCATCGTTTGCTCGAGATAATAATCGTCCTTCGTCACACCTGCAGGGCATGCCACTGGGTGGACTCGAGGTGTGTGGCTCAAGGAACCTCCCACGTAGGCGGCGCCATATGCATGGCAATGCTCTATGCGCTCAAATCAGGCTGGCTCACATCTCGTGGCTGGATGGAAGAGTTG